GCCCCAACCTGGTACCTTGAAGATCAGCTGTGGGCAGATGTCAGTCTCTGCACATGCTTCATCTCTTCTCAGCTTGCTTCAGGGACCTTTTGTCAGACTGATTTTCTTTCTCCTCATTCCAATGTTGCTGCCCTGTTGTTCTGGGTTCTCTGACCATCCCAATCCACTCCACTTCTGCTAATACTTTATCTTTCAATCCCAGCTCATCTATTCCCCATAAATCCAGTCAGAATAACCCCACAAATATCCACCTCTAGCTTAGCAATAGAATTAAGATCTTTCTCTTTTTTATTTTTTTAAATTTTCTTTCTATTAATTTCAGAGATGAAGGGATAGGGAGAGAGAGAGAGAACCATTGACCTGCTGCCTCCTGCACGCCCCCCAGTGGAGATGGAGCCTGCAACCCGGGCATGTGCCCTGACAGAGAATGGAACCTTGATCTCCTGGTTCATAGGTTGATGCTCAACCACTGAATCACACAGGCTGGCTCTTTTTAATCTTTTTAAAAATTTTTGGTTATAGTTTACCTGAGGATATTTTTTTCCATTGGTTTTTAGAGAGTGGAAGGGAGGGATGGAAAGGGAGAGAGAGAGAGAGAGAGAGGGAGAGAAGCATCAATGTGAGAGACACACATCAATTGGTTGCCTCGTGCACATGCCCCGATCAGGGCTGAGGACTGAACCTGTAACCCAGGTACATGCCCTTGACCAGGAATTGAACTCCCCCTTTGGTGCACAGGCTAATGCTCTAACCACTTAGCTCACCGGTCAGAGCAAGCACTTTCTCTTATAAACTAACTCGATAGAGAGCCAGGTAGTATAGATTGATAAGTCCAGATCCCCTTGCCCTTTTAGTGGAAAATTACTAGATTGAAGGGAGCAATTGTGGCTCAGCTGTCTGAAAGGATAGATAGTCCATGTCTCCCAGATGTGGTCATTTTTACTGCTTGAGGCGTGAAACTACCTGTTACAGAATGCCCTGGGTTGTTTGAGAGCATCCCGCTTGTCTCAGGAGATACTCTGCAGCTGACAAATTTATGACCCCAGGACACTGATGGCGAACCTTTTGAGCTCGGTGTGTCAGCATTTTGAAAAACCCCAACTTAACTCTGGTGCCGTGTCACATATCGAAATGTTTTGATATTTGCAACCATAGTAAAACAAAGACTTATATTTTTGATATTTATTTTATACATTTAAATGCCATTTAACAAAGAAAAATCAACCAAAAAAATGAGTTCTCTTGCAGGGACAGCGCTCACGCAGGCACACCTTGGCAGCGTGCTGAAGTGCAAAGACTCACTTAGTTCCCATTTGGTTCCAAACCGGACCGGTGTCTGCGGTTCTCAGCCCATAGATACTGAGCATCCTGACTTTGCCCAGCAGTTAGCACCCACAGGGCATGGGAACGCCGCCCGGGATTGTCTGTGTACAGAAGGAAGGCGTTCTGGTGGCACAGTGCAAGGAGCAGGCAACTCCGTGGCAGCAGGCGCCCTAGGGCCGTGGTCGGCAAACTGCGGCTCGGCAAATTGCGGCTCATGAGCCACATGCAGCTCT